CAGTTTGTTTCAAGTCCCATTCTGATCAACAGACTAGCGCAGTAAATTATAAATCTATGCAGGGAAGTCCGCATGAATTAGCATTAACTAATGTACTATTAATTGTCAACAACCGAAAATTAACATGTGGATTAATTGTTCATTCATTAAAGCAAAACACTATAAGAATTACATAATGCATTCTTTTGTCGACTGCTATAAGTTTACAATTTTCTGATGTATAAATAATAATTAATACATTTAATAATGTGTTCATAAACTTATCATTAATGACGAATTACATACTTACATGCTTAATTAAAGCATGTCAATTCATTTCCCTCTGTTTACAATGACTTTAGTCAGTGTAATTCCATGTGACGTCCATACAAAATGATACCCAAAATATACATCATCTGTTTATAAACACTGGCAATCTTTAACCATAAAGGACTGGATGATGTCGGCTATGACTATTATATCATATAAAAAATAATAATTTAGCATGGGTGGCAACTTTGAGACCTTGATTGAAAAGTATTATTATTATTATTATTATTATTGCACAAGTTCTTTTCAATTATTATTTAAAGCTAATCCAGTTTTATAAGTCCAGAGCTCCTATTAGCTGGACTACTGGAGAATATTGAGAGTTGGGGCTAACATTCGACTTAAATTTATGTTATATTAAGGTACTACACTGTTAAGCAGTAAGTAAAATAAATAAGATGTGTTTGTCCTCTGCATTTGACCCATCGTAGTTGCTTGGTAGCATTAGGCAGTGACTTCGTGCTGCACACGGGGACCAATAGTAGTTCTAAAGCCAGAGTCTTATTCAGGAGCGCTGTTAGGCGTATTTGTTCTGCAAGTCTTCTGAGGTACAACACCTCTGTACTTGTCCTGGTACACAGAATTAGAATGGTGGAATGCAAAAGAGAATTTCAGATGGAAAAGCAGATGCAGAATTATACCAAATACCTCTACAGACACCTATTACAAGACTGAAAGCAAAAAAGTTAAAAGAAACAACCAGGGGTGCGTTTCCCAAAATCACAGATGCTAACTTATATAGTTTGAACCATTGGCTGTGAATGGACAAACTATGTAAGTTGCTAACTTAGTTAGCAACTACTCTTTTGGGAAACGCCCCCCCAGGTAATTTGATTTGAATAATTGATCATCTCACAAGACATCGTCACCATATGGTTTGCAGAGATAGAGTTATGAAGTGACACTGAATAATGCCCATGTTGGCTGTGCGCTGAGTCTATGCTTGGATATGGTCAGTTGGTTCTATGTGTTCCTTTTACACAGTGGGATCTATTAGCATCATAAAATAGTGCACAGTAAACACTTCCCCCTTCCGAGGCGGGGTGCTAAATTACTGCACGGTTTGATACTGTAAGGTTAAATGAAAAAAAGGGCAAAACCATGAACTAGTGAAGTTTCAGATGGTATGCAAGTTTAACTATGTGCACATCAGAGTAGATTTTGGTGCTTTTGCCAATGAGGTTAATAGATTTTTACCATGCTGTGATGGCTGATATTGGGCATAACATTGATAGGGTGATTGTGACCACATGATTATAACTGTTTACAGGCCTAATACAAAGGGACAACTGGCAGAACCCTTTGAGAGAGATAAATGGCCAACCTAGGCTGGATTTTAAGGTAGAAACCCTCCAGTGAGCAATCAGTACTGATGCATTTTAAGTGACTTCAGTTTCTTTGTAGTGTTTGTGGGAGATTACAGGACATGGATCAGATGAGAATCAAGATGGCTAATGTGACTTGTGCATGTGAACTATTTAAAACAATGTAACAATCAGTATCACAGTTTCTCCGCAAAAACAATATTGCTAAAACCAAACAATAATGGTAGACTTTGGCTCCACCTTAATATTGATTTATTCCCCATTTTCATATCAGAAAAATAAGAGGGTACTAGAAAACAACCAAACAAAATGTATTATTATGAATGCCACTTGAAACTTTGCAAACTTTAATTAAAACCAAATAAACACAGAAAATGGATCACAAACAACACTTGAATCCCCTAAGACAAATAAGTTATTACTTGCTTTTAACAAAGACAATAGAAAGAGGATGGCTTTCAATATTATTCTTCACATAGTAGGCAGCTAGTGCATGGTGGCAGGACAAAAGGAATGTTTTTTTTTTCTTCCTTTTGTGAATTGTGGTCATTTTTTCAAAGATAAAACCAGAGAAGTAGCAAGTTAATATTTTAAAATGTAAGAATATTCATTTCGGAACAAACATCTTTTAGGGTGCCAAGAAAGTATGAGACACACCCAACACTTAGGAGCTGAAAGCATTTATACAGAGAGGAAAGGAGATCTGCTGGATAAGGACTTCCAGACTAGCCACAGCTATTCTGGTGGTGTGGCACAGCATCCACAAAATGCTTCTGTGATATTGCAACTGAGTTTAGAAGACATGACTATAAAATCATACTGTAGTAGTTTACATTAAAGAGGTATTATCAGTCCAAGTATACAGTCTGTGTGTGTGTGCGTGTGTGTGTAAATATTTATAATATAGTATAATTATACTATAATAAAATTGTATAATTTTCAAGCATACTTTTTAAATACTAGTTCATAAGCTCATATTTAGCTCCCATTTTTCATATATAAGCTCTTTCTGCTAATGTTAATGCAAATGTTAGATCAACATCCAACATTCCTTATTTCACAGATTGACCAAGAATGATATGAATGTCACATGAATTGGGAAAAAAAAAAAAGATAATTGAACACAGAGCAAAAATATAAATACAGAACGAAACATTTATGTCCACTGTTTAACATGTCTAATATGGCTGTGTAAGGCAAGGGGTTGAAATCCTTATCCACCAGACAATTAATCACACTGTGAAATATACGAAGCCGGTCAAAGCACATGCCAATTTTGGCTACTTTTACAGACATTTGTATTTACAGCAGATTGTACTTATAGAGCCGTGTGTTCCCTTCTTCAGGAGCTGTTGGTTGTGATGTGCCGAGGCAGCAGAAGCATCAATAAGCACACATTGTTCACTATCTAAACTAAACCTTTTACATTAACAAATTAATGGCAATAAAAGCAAACCTATGCTTCTGTTTCTACCAAAATTCACTCAGGAAAGGCAGGTGGATTTCCCAGTTGGTACAATGATGCCTCTAAGAAAATAATGTGGAATCAAAAAAAAAGAAAAAGGATTTTGCTCTTTCAAAATGTCCCCCATTATGACAAATATTTTATTTTGGTTTTAATTAATAATGCTATTGTTTTGTCATGATTAACATTATTTCGCAAAAGTATTTTGGTCTGATTGTGACTATTCATGCACTTACCTTTCTGTCCACGAGAAAAAGCGGTATGTGCCAAAGGTGGGAAAATACCTCGGCATAGCATTATTATCTATCTCAGTTAAAATATTTTATAAAGAAACAGGTGAATATTACAAAAGTATATTATTATGGACAAAAAGTTAGTGAAACTGTTGAAGATAAAATGGCAAAGTTTGAAAAGTAAGGTCTTGAGGACAACCAGAAGATAGTAAGCTCTTATAAAATGTGTGCTGGGATTGAAATTGTTAAATTTGATGTTATACCAAGAAAAGAGCATTTTTTTCTGAATGTATGCTAAATTAGAGAAGAAAATATGAATTAAATGAGGGCATAATTTGTCATCCTTGGACAGAAATCAAAGAGCAGGCAAGGATTTGTTGTCTTTTATACTACCATGAAAGAGGATTATATGGGTTTGGTGCGAGAGGGTAAGAGAGAATATTTTTTAGAAAGATGGACAGGTTAATCAGGAAAAGCCTAGATAGATGCCAAATAACTGCTCGGGAAAGAAAACAGGCCCTGTAAGACCACGCTGCGCTAACACTGCAAGTGGGAAGCTAAGCGGTTACAGTGTCACCATGCTGGCGGCTAGTACACACGGTGTCGGGTGAAGGAGGTGGTGTGTGAGAGGGGGCTGGGGGAGATTCACAGGAGGATGGTTTGGCTTAACCATTCTGTTCATCCCTGGCTTCTGTGGTTGGCTGAAGTGGCGCTGGGACCTCTCCGTTACATCGCATCGAGGGATCCTGATTGGCCATTGAGCTTGCGGGCATGTTCTCTGGCCTGGGAAGGTCTGTGCTGGCAGCAGGTTTGGGGGCGGCATTGGGAGTCACGGCGCCGGCCGGGGCGCCCAACACAGGACTGGTGCCAGATGACTCACTCTGTTCAGGAGCCCTGAGCCGCTTCATCAAAGTTGTGACCCTGACCGCTTTCTGGAAGTTGCGATAAGACGGCATATCAAGAAAATAGCTGGGAGAGGACATGGCAAAAAATTTTGGTTTTACTGAAGTATCTTAGTCTTGACATCAAACTTAAAATAATATCTCATTCTCTCACACAGAACATATCAGTTCATTTTAAGGGGCTTGACTACTGAAAGTGTCTTGCCGGACAAGCAAATCTTAAACTATCTCACAGTCTTCTCAGAACAGTTGATCAGCTTAAATATAAAACAAATTCTTCTAAAGATCTTAAGAAATAGTACAAAGCAGAGCAGAGAGAACAAACCAGGTAAAATTTTGCATGTCATTTTTATATTGCATCTGTCACAATTTTGTTGGAAGATGCTGCAAGTTATCTATAATCTCTAGCATCAGCTCCCTAATGTTGAGTCAACCTCAAATTCATTGAATCATTGTGCCTTAACAAGAGCACCATATTGTCTAGGCATGTAAGTCTATTGGCTTGTCTTACATCTGGGGAAAAAGACGCCAAATGCGACAAAAGTGTCTTTGCTAGTTTCAGAACGATGAAGATGTCATTTTCTGGGCTTAATGGTAAATGGACTGCATTTTATATAGTGCTTTCTGGTCACATGACATGACCCCAAAGCGCGTTACAATTAGCCTCTCATTCACCCTGACCGTAGAGGCTGCCATGCACAGCGCCAACCTGCACATCAGGAGCAGTGTGGGGTTCAGTGTCTTGCTCAGGGACACTTCGACCCGCTCTCAGGAGGAGTCAGGGATCGAACCAGGAACCTACTGATTCCTAAACCAACCGCTCTACCTCCTGAGCCATGCTGATGCCCCTGTTGTTTAAACAGCAAATGTTATTGCACCAATCTGAGCATGTAGTTTGTTAGCTTGTTGGTGCATTGCTATTTTGAAGCAGCGGAAAGCCATTGCACAAATTTACTGGTCTAAAGTCAATATTGGGTCATATTTAACTGCTATTTTAAGGGAGCGCTCACATAGGTAGGCACGTGATGCTCCAACACTCTGAATGTTACACACACGCAAGAGTGCATGACAGCGCACAGACATGTCAAATATTAAAAAGACTGGGATCTGAAAAATTATTATTGTGTACATCAATATATCAAAGAAATAACACAATGGTTAATGCAATTGATTGCTGGCACGTGCAACTCCATGGCCTATCCGAGATCATTTTGATGTAGGCCTGTTTAAATCGTAAGGGAGCCAATTACATCAAAATCCAGGTGATTTGCAATGCAATGTGTGACACCTATTGGTATTCCCAAATTATCCTGGATCAAGCCATAACTCCATTATAATGATCAATTCTGTCATTCCTGCAGCCTTCCAGGGGATCCCCCTGGGAGAGGTGGCTATTAGGTGACCATGTCTACTCATTGAAGAGATGGTTCGTAACACCATACATTTATATCATGCCTAAAACAGTGTGTAATTTTTTTTTTTCAATAGAGATTTCACAAAGACACAAACTGAGATAGATGGAACATTTTGATAAGTCAGGTCAGAGTCCTGCATGAGTCTGAAGAATGCAATATTGCAACCAACCCATTACCCAAAAATATCTCAAAATCAGTTTTGAATCCAACCCGATCCATTAACAAGATGCCTGTAACCCCTCCATCCCACTTCTATTATCAAATACTCTCCACATTTCATTTGAAAAGTGTTTGTAATAATTTTCCCTTTTGCTGACAAATGAAGTAGCCTTGAAAAGGAGAACTGAAACAAGCAGCAAAGCCATGAATGACATTAATGTCACATCTGTAAGTGATTCAAATTTTTCCCAAATGTCCAAGTTAGCCTTTAAGGATGAGTGGTCAACAATCTGATATTCACCAGCATTACTTTTGTTTTGACGTTATCCATATTGATCTGTTTTGTGCCTGGCTTCGCTGTCAGTCAAGCAGATGCAAGTAAATATCACTCCTTTTCTACTTTGCCAGACGCCAGATGTTATTCACGGGGTTTAGGTAGCATAATCAAGAACAATACTATTTTTGTTTCTGTCTCCCTGGTTGTTTTTTTTCTCATTCACAACTTATTTTATTTTCACCTTGTGCACCTTGCCCCACCCACACAAAATAATTTTTTACTCGCGGTCACATCCCCTTTTTTACGCAAAAATTCAAATCTTCGGTTTGGATATATCTCAATGCAATTTAAACAGTTTTGAAATGTATTTAAAAAACATTATTTGTGAACATTCTTCGAGATTTCAGTGATTAGATTTCCATACATTCAGCCTTGACCAGCTCGCGCAACTCTTCAACAGAGAAACGTTTTTGATGCGTTTTTTTTTTTTTTTTTTTTTTGGAAAATCCACCATTTTTCTAGCCATGCGACAAGGTGGAAACGCCCCCGGCTTTTGAATGCGTGATCACATTTTGAATTATTTATTTCATGTTAAGCCCAAAACACGCCTATTACTAATAAAGAGACTGAGTAAAACCCCATGGAACCATGCGCCTTACTTTGTGCTCAAATTATCCGCCGTAAAAATAGCAAAAGTGGATTAGGACATGCCCATACTGCATGTACGCCACTCAATTCAGACCATTCATTCATTTCATTAAAATACAGCCCAAGATGTGTTTGACAGTATTGTCACTGCACTACAGTACATCAGCAAACTTGTCTGATTTTCACCAGCAGAGGGAGTAAGCATAAACATGATCACCAGTTTTTCATGCAACAACACACGGAATAACAAGACCAAAGTTGAATAAATAAAAAATCAAAAATATAGAAAACAATCACCTTCCACTTAGCTTTTGCAAAGTTCTTTTCAATCTGGGCACAGACACCGTCTTTGATGTTCTTGTCTGAAGCTGCGTTTCCAGATATCCTGAGAGTAGAGAGACCCACATCATCTAATTGTTAGGGAAAGCGGATATAACGTATGCTGTTCAAGAAGACTTTGAAGATATGAGTAATCCACAAACAGTTTTTGCAGTATTGCATTTCTGACTATGCTTTACCCAGGTATAAGTATCTGTTTTGAAGAACCATGCAACACGTGATTCTGCAGAGATGAAAATCCTCAATTGAATGGCTCATTCATAGTCTAATAACAGACCAATTTATTATGCAGAAAACCTTATTAGGGGCGCATTAAGCATTACCCTCATTCACTACAGAATGAAATGGCCTGCAGTTGCCAGCAAAGTTCTTAATACAGCTCCAAACCACTAATGTGACAATGTTTTCTTTCATGAATTTTAATAAATCTTGTTTTTTTCCTATTCTGTAGAGCCAGTCATAATAAAAATGTAATTGTTTTGCCACTTAGCAACATATTAAATTTCTTGTACATGGTTTAAAATGCAGATAGGTAAATGATCAAGATGACTCAGTAGAAATATGATTGGAAAATGGTGGAAGCATGTATTGCTCTGTGGAATAAAAAGACTTCCTCAGTTATCTGTATTTTTTTCACAACATGTTAAGTCATCCACTGTGTGTTTCAATACCACTCATGGTTGATGGCTTCCTGCGCAGTGAGTCTCTGGTCCTGGTCCACCTCCATGAGACATGCTACCAGCCCCTTTGCTGCGAAGCAAAACAGAAACTGTGACTCAGTCATCGTTTCCATTCAGGCCATTAGTTCTTCTGATTGATGGTACGGAAAGCATGCTAGCTATAAAAGGCTTCGATGGGGGCCATTTCGTTGACAGAAAGTCTTCTAAAATATGCAGTAATTCTAAAAGATTGTAATCCCACTTCCTAAGCAGATACCTTCACTGTGACCAGATCCTGCTCAGTGAACAGCATGTTACTGATTGACAAATGCAGTGATTCATTTGACAGCTTTGAGTGATTAAATTCAAAATACACAAATATACAGAAAAAACGTGCATTTTCCACATGACTCCCATGACTCACGTCACCCCCTGGCCTAACCCACAGTTTTATAACTTCTTTTCCCAGAGGCCATTTTAGTCACATTCACATCGACTGTCCTGCCTTCTCAGCAGTGTCTATGGAGTACCTGAATCTGAAATGTCATCCCAGTAGGGAGAGTCAAACTCATAGTCGCCTGAAAGAATTTTCCGGAAAAGGTTCTTATCATGGTTCTCATAGTCGTCGTCCTCAGCTTCATCATAGAAGGGGGGATTTCCTGACAGTCTAGGGACAAATGATTGGGAGACGATAAGCATGTACAGCCATATTTTCAGCACAATCTTGTAGAGTCACAACTACAACGCCCTATTTCACATTCGATGTATAAAAGTGATTAAAATTTCATTGCTAAAGGGTATGTTCACTAAGGAGGCATACTCACAATATGTACATGATCACTCCAATCGCCCAACAGTCAACTGGCCTCCCATACCTCTGCCTTCCAACCACTTCAGGAGCTGGGGGGAGAGAAATTGAGCCAAATTAATCATCAGTACCAAGAGTCTCTTTGATGCTGCACACTGCAGGCACTAAAATTTCTCACCCAGGTATTCAGGTGTTCCACATGGGTCTTTGATCAGGCCATTTTCAAGTTTGGCCAGGTGGAAATCGCTTATCACAATTTTAGAGTGCTTCAGGCGATTGTAGTATACCAGGTTCTCCAGCTAAAACAACAAATAAAGAAATTCTTTCAGGTGCCATTAAGACCATTCAGGTGCCATTAAAACCCCTTTGCGCAGATATAGACGCCAGCGTCCATAAATTCCAAAATTGAATTCCTAAATAATTCTGCAGTTGAATTTTAAAATATCGTGATTCACTGGAATAATTTTCCACAGTCTCTGTGACACAAATACTGAATTATGAAGCCTAAATAGGCCCATGCATACCGGAAAAAACTGGCATTATTTGTATTCTGCGCAAAGAGATTAAGACCATAACATGTAGAGACAAGTCTTTTAAACAGGCTTGTTTTGGACACACTTGTATCATTGTGTTTCTTCCAGACATCTCATCCATCTTCACTAGATAGCATATGCTGCTTACTTTACCTTCAGGTTCCTGTGGACAATACGTAGGGAGTGCAGGTAGGCCACAGCTTCCATCACCTGACGAATGACATTACTGGTGTCTCGCTCTGAGTAGTAACCCTGATCGAGGATCCAATCAAATACCTCTCTGCCCGTGGCACTGTAAGGATGGAGATCATGAGCAAGCATATGTCGTCAATCACAGATTATGGTCCTGTACTGATTCTCACAAAGCCAGCAGAACCACCTCCAACATGTTCACAATATAGCTGCTAGGGTTATAACCAGAAATAAAAACTTTGTGTATCAGTCCAGTGCCCAAAATTTCTTCATTCGCTGACGGTTACATTTTGCACTGATTTTAACATTCTACGGTGAACTTGTATGAAAAGGCTTGGCTTCAGAACATGTTAGCTCACTATGCATTCTTAGTCCGCTCCAAGATCCTTCATTCTCAAAATGTTATTTATATTTGAAAATAATTTTGAAGATTTCTTCTCATTGGGGAATGTTTTCTCACCAGCATTTGAGTGTTTTTCTGCCCACTGGGGAGTTCTATTTTTAAATATTGTCTGCTTACTGTATTGTGATTCAAGCTGGGCATTGGCCTGTCTGCTACTCTACAAAGTATCTTTGTGCTCATCCTTAATAAAAAGCACGATAGAAACAAAAATTAATTGACTTGAAATGCAGTTTTATATCACTCCTTTTATTTTACAGGTATTTACAAAAAATGGTCTACTTTGTTCCATAAAAGATGGTGAACTTATGCTGCAGTCTGAACACAGATGAATGAACTGAGGGCACTAATGCAAATTCCTGTAATTTTAATGTCACACCTAATTTGGATACCATTACCAAAATCTGAGAGTGA